GAGATAGACAACGAGCACATAGAGCTTCTTTAAGTGAAGCACAAAAAGAAAAAGTAAAAGAAAAAGATAGAGAAAGATATAAAAAGAAAAAACAAAAAGAATTTGAACAATTTTATAAAATAGGATATTGTAGTCTAGATAAATATCAGAAGGAGGTCGAAGATAATGGTGGAGATAATGATAGAGATGATGATGAAGATGATGATGGAGATGATGATGATGATGATGATGATGATAATAATGATGATGGGGATGATAAAAAGAACAATGGGGGGCATAGTGTGGGAAAAATGAACATTGAATGTGAACATTGTGGGGCGTTAAGATGGGAGGGAGAAAAACCAGGACTTTGTTGCATGAATGGTAAAGTTATATTAGCACCACTTCAAGCACCACTACCAGAAATTTATTATTTTCTTACAGAAAAAAATCCAATATCTAAAGTACTATTTGTTGACAAAATAAGAGCATATAATCAAATATTTGCTTTTACATCAATTGCTACTGATTTAGATTTGGATTTTGCTAATGAAAAAAAGGGGGCATATTGCTATAGAATTCAGGGTGATCATTGTCATTAAATTAGCTCAGCTTTGCCAGAACAAGGGGAAATACCAAAATTTTTCCAAATATATTTTCATGATTCTAACAATATTGAAGCACAAATTGATAGAAGACATGATGTAATGAAGCAAGAATTAAACAGAGATATGATAAAAAATATCTAAAATGTATTAATAGATTTAAATCCTTTTGTAGACACTTATATATCTGCAGGAAATGAGGATCTACAAGACCCTTTATATTATATTTTAATACATAATAAGCATGGTAAAGATATGAGACAATATAATGCACTATTGGCTGAGGAAGTAGCTGCAATTTGTTTTTCTGATAAAACTATGCATGTAAGAGATATTCTTATTGTAAGACATGATGATGAATTAGAAAGAATATCTGAATTACATAGTGCATATGATCCTTTAGCATATTCTATGCTATTCCTATGTGGAGAATATGGTTGGCATAAAGGAATATTAAAAAGGGATGAAATTGAATTAGATAATGATGATGATGATGATGATTATGATGAACCAGATTATTTGTACTAGACTAAACAAAAAATAAAGGCCCATGCAAAAGAAATTGAAGAAAAGAAAAAGAAAGAAGAGCTTTTAAAAAAATGATGGCTTAACACCCTGAAGTCTCTAAAACTTCTGAAGCTAAAGTTGGAGCAAGTAATATCTTTAATATTGACTTTGATACTTTATTAGAAAGAGAATCACAAAGTGAAACAGGATTAACAAGTGTTTTGAAATCTGCAACTATTAGAAGTTCATCAAGTATGATGAGTTTTGATGATGAAAATATTGATGCAGCTGATAAGGATTATTTGGAAAGTTGATCTTCTGTAAAGAAAGAAAAAAAAAAGAGCTAGAGAAGAAACAAAAGAAGTTTAAGCTCAAGCAGAAAATGATAATGATCTTTATGATCCTGTAATAAAAAAAAATTGATATCTAAAAGCAAAAAATTTAAATTTGATAAAGATGAAATCTCTGAATCAGAAAGACTATCTAATAAAGATGATGATAGTGATGATGATAATGTGATAATGATGATGGTGATGATGATGATAATGGTGATATAGAGAGACCATCAAAAATTCAACCAAAACCAAAAAAGAAGAAAAGAAAAACAGTAACTATTAGGGAGTTTGCAGCTTATAGGTTTATGATTAGAAACTGCAACAAAAATAATAGCATTCTGCATCTTTCAGACAGATTGTTTCAACAATATATAGTGGACCAGTATGTAAAGTGGGAAACAAATAATTTAAGTTGGCATTACAAAAATCAAAAAGATTTAAGATTAGCAATCTATCAAGGATTGCAAGATATGATTTCTAATGAAGATGCCAATCTTGATGAAGTTGGCAAAAAGATTATTTTGTCATCAAGCTTTACTGGGTCTACAAGATATTTACAACAATTGTACCAAGATTCTATGGCAATTGTTAGAGAATTTGGAAAATCTGATCTGTTTATAATAGTGACATGTAATCCAAAATGGCCTGAGATTATATCTGAACTTTTACAAAGCAAAAATCTGCTAATAGGCCAGATTTGGAGACAAGAGTTTTCAAATTAAAATTAGATACAATAACTAATGATTTAGTTGTAAATGGTGTATTGGGGAAAGTTATTGCATATACATATGTAGTCGAGTTTCAAAAAAGAGGGTTGCCACATGCTCATATATTACTTATATTAGTATCTGAAGATAAACTACAATCTCCTGAAGATTACGATCAAATTATATCTGCTAAGATACCAGATCCAGATACACAACCAAGATTATATAATATAATTAGCCAATGCATAGTTCATGGACCCTGTGGAAAAATTAATACAGATTCTCTATGCATGATTAATGGAAAATGCAGTAAATATTTTCCAAGAGATTTTGCTGCAGAAACAATAACAAATAAAACCGGATATCCTGTATATAGAAGAAAAGAAAATTTAAGAAAAATTCACAAAAAAGGAATAAAAATTCCTATTGACAATAGATGGATTGTTCCTTATAATCCATACTTAAGTCAAAAATATAATTGTCATCTTAATGTAGAGATATGTTCAAGTGTTAGATTAGTTAAATATCTTTACAAATATGTTTATAAGGGACAGGATAGGGTTTTAATATCTGTAGTAAAAAATTATCATAATCCAAATAATGAAATTAGAAATTATTTGGATATAAGATATGTTTCTGCTTTTGAAGAAATTTGGAGATTATTTAATTTTGGTTTATATAAAAGGTCACATACAGTTGAAAGACTTCCTGCTCATTTACCTGAAAAACAGTTTGTAACCTTTCAATCATCTTAATCAATATTATCAGCTCTTGAAAAAGGAAAGCATACAAAGTTGACAAGATATTTTAAACTTTGTACTAATAATCCAAATGATGAATTTTTTGAAAATTTGAGATATTGTGATGTTCCAAAACATTTTACTTGGAATAGAAGTACCAATAATTGGCAAAGAAAAAAGCAACATGGTGCAAAAATAATCTCTCGAATATATTTTGTTAATCCAAAAGATACAGAGAGATTTTATTTAAGAGCCTTATTAAATATAAGACGTGGTGTTAAATCTTTTTTAGATTTAAGAACTTTAGATACTACTGAATATAGTTCTTATTTTGAAATAGCCTTTCTTGCTGGGTTGGTTGATAATGACCATAAATGTTTTAAATGTCTTGATAAGGCAAAAAACTTTAAAATGCCTGCATAACTAAAACATTTATTTGCTTTTATATTAGTTTACTATTGACCGGTTAATGTAAAAGAGCTTTGGGATGAATATATTAAGCATTTAATTGAAGATTTTCAATTAACAAGTAATAATAGAGAATTAAATATTACAAAAGTATTGATCATTATTGAAAAATATTTAATTCAAAATAGATTGGCTCTTAGTGATATTACAGGACTTCCAACTCCAAAATATGTTTTATTGGAGGATGAAAATTATCAAAATACTATTGCTACTGAGGAACTAAACTTTAATCAGGATGAGCTTAATGAAATATTAAATAATAATAGAGATAAATTAAATCTTGAACAAAAAATAATATATGAAACTATTATTGCAGCACTTAATAGTAAATTTGATAAACATTTATTTTTTATTGATGGGCCTGGAGGAACTGGAAAACCTTTTTATATAATTTGATCTTGGCTTATATAAGATCAAAAGAACAAGGTTTAAATAGAATTGCAATTGCTGTAGCATCTTCAGGAATTGCTGCATTATTAATGAGTGGTGGAAGAACTGTTTATTCAAGATTTAAAATTCCATTAAATCTGGCCGAAGATTCAACCTGTAATATTGAATTACAATCTGATATAGCTCAATTAATTAGAGATGCCAAAGCTATTCTGTAGGATGAGGCCCCAATGTTGCATAGACATGCATTTGAAGTCATTGACAGATTATTTAAATTTATAACAGGGGAAAAGAAAAACCTTTTGGGGGAAAATAATAATTTTTGGTGATAACTTTAAACAAATTTTACCTGTTGTTATTCGAGGTTCAAGGGGTCAAGTTGTTGATGCATGCATAAAATCTTCAAAATTTTGAAAAGATGTTCATAGCATGAAATTAAAAACTAATATGAGAGTTCAACAACAAGATAATCCTGAACAAAATAGATTTGCTGAATTCTTATTAGAAGTTGGTAAAGGAAGAATACCAGTCGATTCTGATCTTCCTGAAGATATTATAAAATTGCCCGATTATATGGCCTTGGATAGTGAAAATCTTGATGACTTAATATCTGAGGTCTTTGATGATATTAATACAAACTATCAAGATGCTGACTATATCCAAGAGAGGGCAATTCTTACAACAAAAAATAGTGATGTTGAACTTATCAATAATCATATACTTGACCAACTTCCCGATCCAAAAGAATATGAATATCTTTCTGCTGACTCTGTTGAGGATCAAGATCAAGTTGATGCAAGTCTTTATCCAATAGAATTTTTAAATACTTTAACACCAAGTGGAATGCCATCTTTTTGCTTGACTCTCAAAGAAAATATATCTATCATTCTTTTACGTAATCTTAATGCATCTGAAGGATTATGTAATAGTACAAGATTAATTGTTAAAGGCTGTTATAAATATCTTATTGATGATGAAATCTTAACAGGTATTAACAAAGGAAAAAGAGTCTTGATACCTCGAGTAAGATTAACACTATCAGATACCGATCTCCCTTTTCAATTAGTATGAAGGCAATTTTCTATCAAATTATCATTTGCAATTACTATAAACAAAACACAAGGCCAACCAATTCTTAATATGGGTTTATATTTACCCAAGCCTATCTTTACCCATGGCCAATTATATGTAGCTTTGTCAAGGGTCCAATCAAATGATAAAATCTAAGTCATGGTTATAAATGGTCATATAGAGAGAAAGGATACTAAGAACATTGTATATAGAGAAATTTTTGATCGTGAAGATGTTTCTAGAGAAGATGAAGAAGCTGAAAAAGTTGATGTTTCTGTACCAGATAATACTTTAGAAGATTGGGATTCTAAAGATCTTTATGATCCTTAATTTGTATATAATTGCTTTGTTTATATTTATATATATTTGTATATAGTCTTTAAAAGTATTTTAATTTGTATATAGCTTTAAAAGTATTTTATTAATTAATTTGTATATAGTTTGTATATAATTGTATATAGTTTTAAAGTATTATTTTTAATT